CTGCCTGATCCAGCCTCTCACGGCCCTCCTGAATTTGGTGCCGTCGCCTGCCTTGTGTGGCCGGGGACGTTTAATCTGCTTCTCTTGCACACCAAGCTGGCTGGTCGCTGGTGGGATTGGGTGTGTGAGGCAGGGTGTTGCAACTGTTTGAGTGGTGTCTGGGCACACATTAGAAACACGGTGCCTCAGGCTTCACTCCAGACTTGGGGAACCCCAAATGCTTGGGGGGTCAGGGGGTCGGGGAGAAGCTCCTGGTGATGTTGATGCATACCCAAGTTTGAAAATCACAGTTATAGGCCAGTCTTTCTCCAACTGTAATGCGGGTACCAGTCACCTGGCCACCTGGGTAGAGGCAGTTGTGGTTCAGTCGGGCTGGGCTGCAGCCTGAGGTGCTGCACGCTTCCAGGCGGTGTGGATGCTGTTGGTCTGTGGACCACAATTTGAGGAGCACAGCACCAGGTGGCCTTTGGCCGATTCCTTGAGGAGGTGGTGCTGTGGTGAAGCGCTCGGCTGCTCACCAAGGCGTGAGCCGGCCACCTGCTGCTCGGGAGAAAGAGGAGGCCGTGTTCTGTTCAGATCGCAGCCTTGAAGACCCCGTGGGGCAGTTCTTCTCTGTCCTGTAGGGGCTCTTCTGTGGGGCACTCGGCAGAAGCAAGGACTATGCAGTGCAGTTTGGGTTTGGTGCTGGTCTGGCTCACGTGACTGCTCCTCTCCTCTGCCCGGCTCCCTTGGTTCTGTCTGAGCTGCTGCAGTAGCTCCTGCTGCACTCCCGCCCCCTCCTCGCTCCCCCTCCTCCTCTCTTAGTGTGGGCCCCAGATTCTGTGTGTATCCACTCCTTGATTGGTCCTCCAGCACCTCGGGCCCTGAAGTGCTACTCTGACTTAAAGAGAGCCTTGTTCGGTAAGGGGGAGGGATGCTTCTGGGCAGGTCTTCATTGCCAGTTATTGCCAATGCAGGGCTCCACCACTTCCTGGGGAAAATGTGTAATGGGCGCCTCACAGGGTAGGAGAAGCAGGTGGGAGAGAAAAGCAGTAATAACCAAGGTGCCGGTGTATCGCCCCACGGAGAGGGCTTTGCAGGGCTGCTGGGGGGATTCAGAGTGTGCGCACGGGCGCTCAGCCGGAGCAGCGGCTTCTTGGCAGAAGAGAGTGATGCCTTAGGGGTGCAGACTGCCTCTGGAGCCAGTTGTAGTTGGCACGGAAAGCTCTCAATGTCTCCCTGTTTTTCTCCCTTTTATGAATCTTGCAGCAGAGCTTGGCGAGTGTGAGCTTCCAGAACACAGCCCGGAGCTGGTGTCTGAGTTTCGGTTTATTCCAAATCAGACTGAGGCCATGGAATTTGATATCTTCCAGAGATGGAAAGAGTGCAGGTACCTAGATATGTTTACTTTGTCTCCATCAGTATTTGTCAGCACCTCCTCTTCACCCCTGACTCGCCGCAGCCCCAGCTCTCTCGCTCGCCTCTACTTCGGCCCTGTTTCAGTCCCCACAGCCCACCTGCCCGCTCTCTCGTCACAGATACCGCGGAAAAACCAGGCCTCGCTCTTTTCTCCCTCTGAAAGAGCACCCTTTCCTGGTCCTCAGTGCTCAGAACCACTGGTTGCCACCTCAACTGCTCCCTTCCCCCGCAGGTGTGGCACCACCTGTCCCTGTTCACCGGTGTCTCCGGTTCAGACCTTTAAGAAATAGTTCCCCGTGTAGGGGTCATCTATGTGTGAGTCTGTGTGCATGGGTCTGTTTCAGAAAAGATGATCCAAGTCAGACTCAGGCCAGCTGGTCATTTCTCTCTTTGCTTTATGTCCCCAGGCCCTCGTCACCCAAGTCCTGTACATCTGTGCTGGGCCGGCCCCACAGCTAGCACTTCCTCTTCACGCACCCTCTCCACACTAGCCTTTCCGCCTACCAGTCTCGTCCCCCAGCACTGCCCGTTGTCTGGAACTGAGCAGTTTCCTTCTCTCACCTGGTCACTGAAGAATTCACATGACTTGGTCATTGCAGTGGAAAAGTGACCAGTTCAGAGCATCCTTTCTCTCTCTCTCTTTTTAAATAAAATGGAAGCAATATGGAAGTGTGTGGACATAGTCCTTCCACTCCCCCTGCATACCACACACACACAGAAAGAAGCCCTGATAACATTCTGTTGTGTGTCCTTCCTGCTCCTTTTGTTCCTGCTTGCCATGCGTGTATCTACATGAGAAAAGCTCTTCCGTCCTGTTCACGGATCCTCTGTGAATGAAGCTCTGTTCTGTGGTCTCCCTCAACAACACGAGCAGCAGGTTGTTGGAGGCCTGTGGGGGTTCCCTTCCCACGAGGTCCCTCGCCCCTCTTAACTGTGACACAGACCCCATAGTCCCGCGGAGCCCTTCAGCACTCTGTGGGGGGGTGCGCTGCCCTTGACATTGTATCCCGTTGGTTTCTCGAAGGGGAAAGAGCCCTGCGCAGGCGGAACTCTCCTATCTGAACAAAGCGAAGTGGCTGGAAATGTATGGGGTCGACATGCACATTGTCAGGGTAAGAGCCGTGTGTCTCGGTAATCTCACTTTGTTTTACGGGGGAAGGATGTGTAACCAATGTGCAAGCAAAGTAGCATGGTGAGGAAACTGTGTTGCATTCTGCTCGGTGACCCCCTGTCAGAACCCTCTACCGACTGTCGCTTCGTTTGTTTGTAGGGAAAAGATGGCTGTGAATATTCTCTTGGACTGACGCCGACAGGCATATTAATCTTTGAAGGAGCTAACAAAATAGGCTTATTCTTTTGGTAATTTAGTTTTGTCTGATATTAAAAATGTCTTTCTCCTATGTGTGGTGGAATTTTATGTGGTGGATGATTTTTGAGGGAGGTTTGCCACCCCCGAATTTAAAACACATCGCACGGTTGTACCTATGGGGGTGTCTGAGAATTTCCGAGGGATCTCTATTCATCTAAATGAATGAATGATTTTTTTTAAAGACAAATCTTAACTGTATAAAGTAGAAAGGAGCCAGCTGTTGGATGTATAGACAGTGTTGCCGCAGAATGCCCTTTTTAAAATGTTGTTTTCTCTGACCAGGCCTAAAATTACCAAAATGGATCTTAAAAAGAGCAAGTTGACGATCGTCGTGGTGGAGGACGACGATCAGGTAGGCCTTGCCACGCCGTGCTGGGGCCAGGCATGCCCTGGCGATGTTGCGGTCACGCCAACGAGGGCCTGTGTTTCCTGTTTCAGGGCCGAGGGCAAGAGCACACGTTTGTGTTCCGGTTAGACAGCGCCAGGACCTGCAAGCACCTCTGGAAGTGCGCCATCGAACACCACGCCTTCTTCAGGCTGCGGACGCCCGGGAACAGCAGGTCCAGCCGATCGGAGTTCATCAGGCTGGGATCCCGCTTCCGGTTCAGGTAGGTGCCGGCTCTGCAACGGGGGACGCTTCTTTCCCAGAGCGGTGATTGGTGGTGTTTTCCTGCGGCAGCACCCTTGTATCTGGGTTTGACATCCCATGCAGCCTTCTCTTCTGAGATCTCACCTGCAGGGCTTTGACCTCCGTAGCCTCATTGGTACAAAGTTAGCAGCGCCTGCTGTGGAGCCAGTGTTATGCTATCCAACGAGACAGGGCATTGGTGGCTCAGTGATTGGATTCCTGCCTTCCCTGGGGGTCCTGGGTCGGAGTCCTTCAATGTGGCCACCATCTGTCTGCCATTGGCTGCTGATGAGTGTTGCCCTGGTGCCGGATAAGTGTCTTTGGAGTTTCTTGGCCAGCCGGGACCAGAAGCAGAGGTGTGGTGGCGGTCTGCTCCGGAATATCAGCCCGTGATGGAAACTGTGTGGATGACAATGGTCCAACCCAGCATGGCTTCTTTTGTTACAGTGTGCGTGGAGTTGCCATGACAACAGCTAACAGCTGTTCAACATGGTGGCCACCTGTGGCTGTTTAAGGATGCATTTAAATATACATTCATCAAAGTAAAATGCGAGTTAAGCTCTAACTCTTCAGTCCCGTTAGCCACCTTTCGGGTGTCGAGCCTAGCACCCACGTTGGGCCGTGGGACGACAGCACGTTGCATCTTCGTGTCAAGTCAGGGATGTGTTAGAGATTCTCATGTTCACACCCCTAATCCTCAAAGCCACCTAGCAACAAAGCCGGCTCTCTATCACCATTTGACAGACAAGGAATCTCGTGCCCAAAGTCACACAGCCAGGAAGGGATGAGGTGAGCTTTACACCCAGGCCTGGCTCCTCTCTTCTGATCGGTGCCGTGTTGCTGGGTGCCCGGTCGAGGAGTTTGGTCATGAGGAACAGTAAGAGCAGGTGTCGATGCACAGGTCTAACCCAGTGCTTGACGGGGGAAGAGACCCTGCAGACAGGTTGGGTGGCGTCTGATTCATGATTAGCAATCATGCATGCTGATCCTAAGACCATGTTTCTCAAACACATGCCTGTGAACTCCCTGCTGTTTGTTGGCGATGAGGTCGTACGACCTCCTCTCGGACCTAGGTAACCTGATTCGGGGGGTGGGGGTGTGTGTGCAGGTGTCTAGAGCCTGGGGACGTGCATTTCAGACTTGCCCCGGGATGGGTACGTGAGGTGCCCTCTGGGTTCTGAGAGCAGCTGGTATGAGCTCGAGATTTGACATGGTCTCCTAGCTTCCGCCCACACACGGCACATCAGTGAACCGAGCTGGTTTCAAACGCCAAGAGGGTTGCTCCTTTCCATGTATATCCTGTGTAAGGAGACGGCTGTGCGCTTCTGTGTAAAGAAATGTTCTGTTTGAATGTATCTTTAAGCGCTCCATGGGGAAACAAAGGCCGTGTCCGTTTGGAGAAAGTATTGGAGTCCCTGGACCCCATGGAGGGCTCTGGAGAGGCTGGGAGCTGTGGGCTACAAAGGTTAGCCAGGATGTTGCTCAGGGTGCTGATGGTACCCAGGCTGGTGTGAGGAGGGCGGCAAGCAGTGGTAGGCAAGCAGGTTTTCCCATCCTGGGAGGAAACGCGCCCTGGGTGTGGCCCAGGAGGCTCTCTTCTGTGCTTCGAGGAGAAGGAAGAGGACCAGGGGGTGGAGATAGCCAGGAGGTTGCCTCCTGGGGCAGGTAGAACTCAGAGCAGGTGGCAAGTGTGACTCCTGCTGGATCATGAACCATGGGTGGCAGGGGTAAGACGGATGCCCCCAAGGAGCTGCATCTGGATGCCAGGTTTGGTCAAAGCCAGGAAACCTTCGTACATAAGCAGTATTTCCCTGGGCATCACAAAGAAAGTCAGGGTTTGGTTCAGTGGCCGTTGATAACAGCCTTTTAAAAGATGAGTTAGATGTGTGTGGAGTGTTTTCTATAAAAAGTTCTTTTATGCACTAATCATTTCATAGCCAAGTGTCCCAGGCACTCCTCACTGCTTGTTCGTGCAGCCAAGTTTCTGGTCCTAGAATTACTGGTCTCGTCCTTTGGGAGACCTGTCCTTGTGGTTGCCAGTTGCTGCCCTGTCCCTTCTGATTCTGGGTGGCCCTGCGGGCATGTCGTTGAACTGGGTCCAACAAGGTGTTCAAGGCTGGGATCTTGGAAGTAGAAGGCCAGGTCTTACTTTCCAGATGCCTCTGGGTGGGTTTGAACCACCCACCGTTGGGTTAGTAGTCCAGTGCTTAACTGTTTGTGCCACCCAGGGACTGTGCTGGCCACTGAGATAAGGTAGCGTAGAAGTGGCAGAGAGGATTTTGTTCAGAATAGAACTCCCTGCCATCCAGTCAGTGCTGACTCGTACGGACCCAGAGGACAGAGTAGGACTGCAAGACTGTAACTCTTGGTGGGAGTCGAAAGCCTGACCTTTCTGCCATGCAGCAGCTGGCGGTTTCGAACTGCTGACCTTGTGGTTACCAACCCTGTGAATAACCCACTATGCCACCGGGACCCTTCTCTTCCACAATGGAAGGCTACGTTTGCTTCGTACCTTTACCAAGCAAGTGTCAGATGGACAGGCATTTCCATTGGGGTGCTTAAAGATAAATGTCCTCCTAAGTATGTATGATGTTCTGATCCCGCTAACATGACATAACGTGGAATACAATGCTTGCTTTCCAGTGGACGGACAGAGTATCAAGCCACACATGGGTCCAGGTTACGAAGAACCAGCACCTTTGAAAGGAAGCCCAGTAAACGCTACCCATCCCGGAGACATTCCACGTTCAAAGGTTGGGTGTTTTTCTTTCCGCCTTGAACTTGGCGTTATGACTGAGTTGAGCCCCTGGGAGCTCAGCGCCGTCGCCTGGGAAGTCCCGTTTCCTCGCTTCCGCAGTGCTTCTGTCAGCCCGGGGCCCCTCGGTGGGAGGCAGGCCTGTGGCTAGCCTGCTCCCCGAAGTCTCTCCCATCCCTGCCCCTGTC